GGAGCCCGACGGAGTTCGGTCTGTTGAGCAACCCCCCTACCACCATGGGAGGAAACTAGGGCCAAGCTTATCAGCTCAAAATGGCTCAGACCATGTTGGGAGAAAACATGATTTGGGCTTTCTTTATCCATTCTGTGTTTGAAAAATCTGGGTGACAAGGAGTAACATAAAAACTCAGAAATTTGTTTAACTCGACTATGTGGAAGCTGTGAGATTTGGGAGGCTAGGTCAAGATTCACCGTCTTGGGAATTCATCTGTTCCCCTCCCTCCTGCTGTCCCATCTTGGAGGGGAAGATGAGATGGAATGACCACAGCTTCTTCTTCTGTCCCCAAGACTGAGTTGTCCAAATGCCGCCTCCATTTCTCAGCTGCTAGGTTCTCGAGCTCCATGGTGACGCTGAAGCAGACAGAAGCCGAAAGGTTCTGAGGCACAAGTTCCTCTCTCTTCTTGTTATAGGGGACCCATAGTCTCCTGAGGTTCAGCTCACCCTGAGGCTTAGGCAGTTTGTCCCTGTCCTAGAGAGTCAGTTTGTATGTAGTCTAATTGCAGAGCCTCGTCCCACTGATAGAACCAATAACTAACCCCATTTTCCCATCGGGAGCTGCAGTCACAGGGCAGGGGCTGTGAGTGTTGGCCAAGTGCTTAGGACAGTGCCTGGCACATAACAACCATCCCATAAATGGGCAGGAGGCCAGGGCTTGAGAACAGTTCCTGGAGGGCTCTTTGGCCAGCATGGGGCCTGAATGAAGTGCTGCGAGGGCTCGAATGGCGTGAGATTAAAAAAGCCCAGGAGAAGGATACTAGGCTTAAAATCACCAGATAGGGCTTTCTACTTGAGGGGAAGCTGGACCTGGTGCTACTCCAGAAGCATAGGAAAGAATCACAGGTTCAAGACTAGCCTGAGCAACTTATTGAGACCCTGCCTCAAAGTAAGGGCTAGAGATAGAGGGTTTGCCTAGCTTGCACAAGGTTCTGGGTTCAGTGTTTAAAAAGAAAGGGAATGAGAATATTGCTAAAGCCTTCTGCCACTTCACAGACACACCATGATGCACCTTCCCTTATTTCCACCAAACAGCCAGAGAATGACATGTTAAGTAGCAATTATGTTCAAACTGAACCAGGGTGAGGTGGAAGTATGCTTTGTGCTTGCCTTCCATGTTTCAGGGGCTAACACCCTGAAGAAAAGAGGCCCGAGATGTCTACCCCTTCCCCTTGGCCTTAGACAGCCTTGGTTTTCCAGTTTGGCTCCTCTGCTTCCTCCCCAGAGACAGCTGTCAGGTTCTAAATTATGTATTTTCTCGGCTGTAGCCAAGAGCCAACAGTGAGGCATCCTCAGGCCACATTCTCTTCTGCATCCCCTCCCCCACCCCCCTGCCTTAAGCAGCAGCCTCTGGCCCCCTTGCCTGTCTAAGGGATCTGCACAGCCGTTGGGACCTCCTGGGAAAACTGGTCTCACTCCTCCAACAGCCTGTCTTAAGTCAGTTCCTGTTCTGGATGCCAGGAGCTCAGGGCTTATTCTGTTCTTTTTGAAATGAACACGCATCAGCTTCCGTCAAAGCAGACCATTTCTGTTTGATCCTGGAAATGTGTCCCTTTGGTGATTAGCTTTGCCTCCTCTTTGGAGCGTCCATTCTGATGTGAACCCCTGGTTCCTCTAGCTCCAATTATGTGCCGCCCAGATTTCCTCCAGTCTCGCCCAGAAGTCAGAGTTGATAATTCCCTGTAAAACACTGAGCCCTGCCACCCCAGGCAGGCCTGAGCAGCCTGGGCCAGCCAGTGGCAGATGGCAATGTTTCCAAACTCGTGTAGGACATGTTTCCTACATTCTGTGTAACAGTTTCTTCTTTCGGTGGCTTATTTTCCACTGTTTGGATTCAGGAAAGCAACATTAGATTAGCCAAGACTGAACCAGCTACAGAAACTACGTGTAGGGAGAGGCAGGGTTTGCTGGGGGAGGGAACAGAAGAACATTTGATCAGGCAAACATAGAAAAGGCTGTTCATATGGGAGTTGAAGAAAGATCCCCCAAATCATATCTCCTGAAGCTATGAGGAGCTCCAGAATTCTCTTCATCCTTTTGGGGATTCATGACCCATCCCAAGTCATGGAAATAGTATTGACCATCTGGAACTCCAGCAATGCCCTCCTAAGCCAACATCTCTTCCAAACGAATATGGAAAAAGGAGACAGAAAAGACCTTGACCTCCCAGTCAACCAGACAGGAAGCAACACCTTTTCAGTGTTTACAAAAAGCAAAGACCCTAACCGGTTCCTATAACTCATGGCTTCTCTGTCTACACTGTATGCCAGAAACTTTCAGAACGCTTGATTCTGTTGATGAGGGTGGGGCCAGGGCAACCTGTGTTTTTTGACGTTCCTCTAGGCAAGGTTGGAACCCACAGTTCTGAATCGGATTGAGCGCAAGGATTTGGTTCCACTACCTTCTCAGGAGGCCCCTTGCTCCTGGGAGGTAGAAGAGGTGACTGAGTGTACTGCTGTGCACTTGACTGATTTTTTTTTTTAAGAGAGTTTATTAGCCAGGCTGTGGTGGCACGCTCCTTTAATCCCAGCACTTGGGAGGCAGAGGCAGGTGGATCTCTGAATTTGAGGCCAACTACAGAGCTAGTTCCAGGACAGCCAAGGCTACACAAAGAAACCTTATCTCAAAAAACAAAACAACAAAAACATACGCTGTTGTTTTACTTGTTATTTGTGCGTTCACACACGGAAGTCAGTGACTTGCTGGAGTCCTTTCTCTGCTCCTACCTTGTTTCGGCCTACTGCAGACTAGCTGGCCCGTGGGCTTCACCGCGTCCAGCTCTGTCCATGGGATCAAAGGCACACACTCAGGTTAATTTGCCATGCTTTTCCCCATTGAGCCATTCTGCCAGCCAGTGACCCGATGTCTATCAACAAAGGTCCTCAATTTTGACTCTATCCTCAGAAGCTTTTCAAGGCCCCAGTGCCTGGCTGTACCAAAGACTAAGACAGTCATGATCCCCAGGAACATCAACCTGTGTAAACACTATAAACCAGGTAGTACTGCGAGGTTCTCAAACCAGAGTTGAAAATCGACATGTCTGGCCAAGTGGGCACTCCTGTGTACCATAGACTGCATCCTCCCTTGTGTTTACCTTGCTCCTGGGAGTATGTGAGTTTCCATCCTGGGGTTGGAGGACCAGTGGGGGTTCAGGCTGCTGGACTGGCAGACGGTGCTGTCCTTGGCTACGCTTGACCCATAGGAGCAGCTCCCAGCTCCCCCCACATATGGTAGCAACATATTCTGCTCAACTAAAGTTTGGGAAGACTTGGAGCTGGAGGCCAAGTGGGCCATGTGACTGAATTCTGTCCTAGAAGAGATTCTGGCAAGAGAAATAAGATGCAGATAAAAATAGCCGTGCTTAGATAATACAGAATACAGTAAGTGCCACAGAGGCAGAAAAATGTAGGTGTGGTATCATAATTTAAAAAATTAAAATGCTATTGACTTATTATTTGCAGTGAGGACATGACTCCCAAAAAGTCTATCAAAGTGTGTCATTCACTGGCAGGGATGTGGCACCATCTTTTACTTAGACAAGTCACTAACCTCAAAGTTTAGTTACCATCAACCCCAGAGGACTTGAGATTGTCGTCCTCATAGGTAGACAGGCTCGTGCAGGGCCCACAGCTTAGGGACTATAAAGGTCACCTTGCCAGCCACTCTGCCTTGCTGCTGAGAGGAATAATGTACCCTGCCCAAGTCACACAACAAGCAAGGCGGGGGTCAGCCAGGGCTGGAGATCAAACTGGCTGAAGAACAGATCTCTGGCTCCGACCGCATCCACCAAGAATGCTACACACTAGTCTGCCCTCATCTAGAACCCTCCATTAGCCGAGTTCTAATTTATCCAGGCATCCTTTCTATGACTGGAATGTTCCCGGGCAGCAGGGACGTGATATATTCCTGTTCACAGATAGCCAGCCTGTAGCTCCCAGCCCATCTGGGATTTGATCAGCAAAACATTCCTCCTCTTTCTGCTGGGTTCATATGCATTTGAGCAGTTTCATCATTAGAGTTAAACAGAATACATGCTGTTATTTGGAAGTTGTTTGGATGGAAGTCAGCTTTAAAATGGCAGTGGGGAAGGAAATGGTGAATGAAGGGTTACAGGAGGGCGCTCAGGTAAGGTCCCCAAGTCCTTGTGGCTTTATAACCTTGACTTCTACTGTAGAGAAAGCAGAACAAGCCCCGTCTAGTAAGAGTTCTCTCTTGTACACCATGGGGCTGGTGTACACTGGTTCACTCTCAGACATCGGGAAGAACTGAGAGACCGAAGTGACCAAGGCGGGGGCTGCAGCAGACACACAGAGTGGTTCCCTCTGCAGCCGCCTCTGGTAAACCCTTCTCTTAGTTCACATCAGTGGCTGAGGAAACTTCCTGGCAGAATATTTCATCTCTAGCCGAAGCCTTTATCTGAGCTGAAAGATAATGGATTTCCTTTTTTGGACAAGTTTTTTTTTTCTTTTTTTAAATTCTCCCTCTTTCTCTTGGACTTCTTGTCCAAACTGCTTAACTCTAGAAAATAGACCTTTTGTTAACAAGTCTTGCTGACCATACCCCCTTCCTCCAACCAAGTTCTTCTGACGCTTCCAAGGAAACCTCCTGTGTTATGTCTGGGTAAGAAAGCACAAAGAAATAGCCTGTCTCTCCCTCGCTGCTTCCTCCTCCCTAGCACCCCTGAGCCCTGCACTGGGCCTGCAACAGGAGGCTGGGTGGACAGAGGTGGGGCCAAGGAGAAATAACCTGACTTCTTCCTTATTTTCCTTCAGCACCATCTTCAGAAATCTAGAGGCTGCGTGGAAGAGCTGGGGAGAGGACTAGGTGGGGAGGCCCGTCCCGGGCTCCCTCTGGGAAGGGAGCAGCAAGGTCTTGATGGGCACTGGGAGACTCATTCCCAGCCTGGGAGAACCGTGTGCAATTATTTCACCTGGATCTTTCTTTTTCCCCTTCAACAGCCCTATTACCATATTTAAATGCAAGTATGTCTCTTTTCGTTGGCATTTTCAGTAGCTTAGCGTGACCTTTTTAGAGTAGCTCTTTCCCTTTTGAACGTCTTGCCCTCCGTAGAACCACGTAGCTCGGACCATAGTCTTTAGAGTTTAGTGAGCTTCTAGCTGGCTCTGTGTGGAGGATTTCCTCCTTCCTCTGCTCCTCTGCTCCCCGCTCTTCCGGTGCATGTCTTGTTCCCTTGTCCTGTGGAAGTGCCGCATCGGACAGGCTCTGTGGCTGGTCACGCAGCTCTTTGCGGGGGCTGTTTGGTGGGTGTGCATCATTTAAAGAATAGCCCTGGAAGTGGGTCTTAGGATCAGGCTGCAGCTGTCTGCCTGGAGGCGGAAGATATCTGTCTCTCTGTATGTGGAAGTGTGCCTCTATAAACTCCAGTTTCTGACTTGTGTGTCAAGTTAGTGGCCAGAGAAGCCGAAGAGAGAGGAAGGATTCAGCCCACCTCGTCTTTCATGGGGACATTCTGTAGGCACACTCATTCCTGCCTGGCCTAGCTTTGCTAGACAGTACAAATCCTAACCTAAAAGGATCCCTGGGTAGGAGTAGGGGACACTCCACACTGACTTCATCTGATGGTAGCCTCAGATACTGGAGTCCTAGCTCAGTTCCCTGTCATTGCCATGGGGTGGGATGGGATATAATCTGATAGTTCACATACCTGACAGATGCAAAGCCCTGGGTTCCATCCCCAGGATCACAGAGTATCATTATATATAATAATAATACAACTCTGGGGAGATTGAAATACTGAGCGGGATCACGCAGAACCAACAGAGATCACCCCAGGTAGAGTCAGCTCCTCAGCCATCTGACATCTGGCCCCATGTACATATTCACTTGGGAACCCCCAAAGGCTTCGCCCTCAGGCCTGGGGCCATGGTACTGAAGACAGAAAGTTTTGACCAATCTAGAGCTTTAGATGACCAGACCTTTAGAGAGCTTTTGGGAGTAAAATCATCTCTAGGCCATGGCACCTTTTCTGTGAAGACGCCAGCCGCAGGTGCTTCCCAGAGCCTTGGAGCTCCAGCTGACCCCACACCAAAATCCCTGTAAGGAGTAGCAGGCCAGGCCTGGGGCATCATCATGCGTCAGTGCAGGGTCAACTGAGGCCTCCACTCAGTTCTCCAAAGACATAGGTCCTCCTCATAGCTGAGTCACTGCTGTGTGCTTCCTAGAATGCACTTCTGGGGTGACCAGTGTGTGAGAGTCAAACACTTAAGGATTTCGTGCCTTCAGAAGCCTGAGAGCCCCTGAGCTGTGTCCCCCAGCGCTGTCTGTGAAGCCCTTCCTAGCTGCCTTTTGTGTGACCTGGGGTCCTCTGTGGCTCCGTCTGACTCCACTCTTCCCTCTCTCCAGGCTTCCCAGCAGCAGCTTATGGACCAGTGGCGGCGGCAGCAGTGGCAGCGGCTCGAGGATCAGGTAGGAAGGTGTGCGGGGCAGGCGGCTCCCAGGCATGCCTCGTGTGCAGGGGAAGGTAAAAGCCCTGCCAATCTGTGTGGCTGCGTCTGTCCAGCACCCCTCTCACCACAGCCCAGGGGAGGGGGTAGGGACAGGGAGGCTCCACTAAGGCCCGACCACCCAGGGCTGTTCCTACAGGAGTCTGCCACAGTTAGGGAACTGCAAACCCCAAGCAGAATTATGCTCCCATTAACAAAGAGGAACTGCCTTTCCCTTTGGCTTTCCCTTTGGCTTTGGACCGTCCCATCTCTAAGCCCAGCTCTGAGCATTCTGGTCACTGCCGTCCTTGGCTTTGACAGGTTCAGAAGGTTCCCTTCCTTGGGTCTCTGATCCACCGAAGAGGTACCGAGTAAGCTCGCTCTCCAGTCAATCCTGACAGGTGGGCTTTTGACTCTGGCTCAACTAGAGCCCTTGAGGTCAGAGAAGGAGCGAGGCTGCTGGAACCTCAATCCCTATTGCCACAGACTCTCTTCTGAGTCAAGCATCTGCCAAGAAACTGGAGCTTTCTCTCCCCTGACCTTATCCTAACCTTTAAAAGATCTGGAAGCCTCCAGTGACTAGGGAGCACTTCCCCAGCAATACTGTAAGGTCCAGCCAGAACTGGGGTGTGTCACCCCACTGTGAGTGCCCTGGGCTTCCTGCCATACACCCCCGCTGATAGCTGCTCCTTCCACCTTCTCCTCCCTCTGGAGCAGGTTGACTCCAGTTCTTTTACCCTGCCCTGCCACCCCACCAACCTCACCCCACGGCCAGGGCTCTGGAGCACTCATAACTAGACTCTGAAGAGAGTGGGCAGCTTGGGGTGCTGGTGACGGTACCAGGAAGTGGAGCGTTAAAAGCCCAGAGGGCAAATGCCTAAAACCCAAACTGGCACAGTGAGGCTCATTAGGAAACGTCAGAGAAAATCCGTTCCATGCAAACTGGCACTGCCTCCAAGCTACAAAGGATCCTCTCCCCCAAGATACCCACTGGAGTTTTAGGGGGCCTAGGCAGGGAATTAATTGAGGGTGGGGGCTACTGAGGGGCAGTTTGCCAGAGATCTGGTGGTTAGCAGGTAGGCTGGGAAGTCCAAAGAGCTGGGCACTCTCAACTTCCATCCACCCTAGTCCCTAAAGCCACCGCCTCGCCCTCTGGCCAGTGTCCCTTGGTGTACCCCCACTCCCAGGCCCTAGGAAGGTTGCACAATTGCATCTTGTCTTCCTGTTTCTGGTTTTGGGGTTTTTAACTTGAGTGTTTGGGGGGGAAAAAGGAAGCCTCATTCCTACCTGTGCCTGGGAGGGGAGAAAGATAAAAGAACAGTCTTGAAATTTGTGAGTGTTGATGTTTGTTTTCTCTGTTCAGTTTCTTTCTTTTGATAACTTTTGGATTATGAAACTAAACTTTAACCCGAAATTAACCCTGCCTCTCTCCCCACCCCACCCCACCCCTTGACGTCATGGCAAGTTTAAAGGGCAGTATGGGATTCTCTGCGAGTCTGAGAGCCGTCTCCTAGTCTGTGCTTCCTTCTGCCACCCCTGTCCATGCCCAGGACCCCCCCTCCCAGAGTCAGGCGGGAGCCCCACTCACCCACCCCTCTAACTCCTAACCCTCAAGGTCATCTCCAACCACACATTCTGTTTCCAGGACCAGTGGTGTTTTATTTGTAGCCATTTCCATCGGGAGCCAAATCTCCCACAGGCCATCCAGGTCAGCCATGCTCATCGCTGCACTGTTAGTGAATCTTATTCAGGAGTACGCTCCCCAAGCCCCTGCCTACCCCAGCCTGGGTTAGAGTAAATCCTCAGCTTGAGGTACCCACCCAAGGGGAAACCTCCAGTGCTGCCTCGAGGCTGTAGGCTCGGGCTGTGCCCACTGTAGAGAGAACATAGTCTCATCTGCTCATGGAGACTACGTAGCCCAGCCCAGAGCCCCACCTTTGGACCTGGACCAAGGCTGTTAAGTTGGGGGTGGAAACTGCCTTTTTCTTTGAACACAGTTTGGCCCGGAGGGGGACTGTCACCTTCTTCCCTTAAGAAGATAAACTGAGCCCTGAGCCTGGAAGGTTGGCCAGTTAATTTTCCTTGAGCGGTCCTTCATTGGCAACCACTCCGTTGTGGATTGAGAAAGGCCACACATCAATGGATGCCCCGTAGGGTTCCCAGGCACTGATGATCCGGTTTCCCTGTTCCTCAAACCTTGCCCCCCCCCAGTTCTTCCCCCAAAGCTAAGGATGCTCCTCCAGCCTCCTGAGCAAGCAGCCTGCATCAGGGGCCCTCACAACCTCCTTAGAATGCATTGGTTACCTTCCTGGAGCCTGGTACGGTGCCACACCTGACAAGTGACTACAGACTCCAGGAAATGTGGCCTCTCCTTCCAGGGACTCCTGGACTTGGCTTAGGGGTTAGACGTCTTACGGAAGGCAACATTTTTGTCATTATTTTTATCTAGTCCCACCGTTTCAATTCCCAACCCGCCCCACCCCCACCCCTTCATTTTGACTTCCCTTCCCATGCTGGGAAGCACCTGCTGAGGGCCATGGAGGGTGGGGGGTAGCTTGGTTCTTTCTCGGGGTGGCGACTTGTATCTGTCAGGGCTGTGGTGTTGAGGCAGTCAAGGGGGAGGCCTTGAGCTTCTGCCTCAGCCTGTTTCTCTGGGCTAGCCTGCCTACCTTTTCTTACTTCCCCCAGAACCTGAGGTGAGCAGGGCCCAGGCGTCCCAGCAGGGAATCCCTCTGCCGACTCCTAGATAGCTTCACTATCAGTGGTCACGTTCCTTTCACGTTCACCTGGCAGTCTGAAACATCATCTTTTCTTGTGCTCAGTCCAGAGTTTGTTTATTTTTGGTCGTCCTCATTCAGCTCCAGTGGCTCCACCCCCTCATCACGTCCCATCCAAACATAAGTCGGGTTTGACAGTTGACCACCCCCGCCCCCAACCTGAGGAAAACAGTACCGATTTTCAGGGTACTTCTATTTTGGGGTGACCTCATGGGTGGGTCCGTGTATCACTCTTAAGAGCTTGCAGAGCGCCCCCTGGTGTCACCCCCATCCCTACCCACCCTCAGGCCCCGGCCAGGACCCCGTACTGTACTTTATACTTGCCAGCTTTGTTCCAGTCTGGTGACATGAGCTCCTGATGGTGGTGGTGAGTGTGGGCAGTCATGTTTCTGTTGTCTTTTCTCTTGCTTGGTTGGGGCTGCGGTGAGAGAGTGTCTCTGAGGCATACTTTCCCGCCTCTCTTACACTAGGACCTGCACACCTCCTCTCAAACACTCTTCTGAGCACGCTCAGCGGGAAGGTTTGTCCACACCTATTAATCCTCTCTCAGTGTCCAGCTTCCTGTTAGTACCAGCTGGTTTGCATGTTTGCTTGTTCAGATGAAACAGTTCAAGAAACAAACTCATATCCAACTCTCGAGAAATGTCTTTTTTTGTACACTTTCGTTTTCTATTTTTTTTTTATCAGTTACAACTCCAAAACACCTGTTGTCTAGTAAAACATTTCACACCTCCCTTGCCTGTTCTTAGATTGTATGTATCTGTGGGACTGAACTAAATGCATGCACTGTAGTAGATGTCCTGGTAGCTGTAGCTGTAGTTGTAGAACATGCATTGTTGAGTTGATATTACAGGGTCTCCGAAGGCGCGGCCCAACACCGCCATCTGAAGGATAGCATGGGGACCAGGAAGGAGAAGGGGTTCCATGTTTTCAATGTTGCCAAGGGGCTTGGATCCATGTTCTCGCCATCAGCCACCACCACCTCTCCTCACGATCCCCACTCTCCCAGTCTGGAACTGGCTCACCACCCCTCAGCTCTAGCCCACCCAACCGAGATCTGTGCTCACCATAGCGGAACAAGTGGAGCCAGAGTTGGAAGGAAGGGTCTTCCAAGGTCTTATCTTCCCCACACTGTTCTTGACCAAAGCAGATCTTTTCTTGTTTTTTTTTTTTTGTGTTTTTGTTTTTTTGTCTTTTAAGACCATTGCCCAGGCTTCTGTAAGCTTGGCTTCTCCTTGAGCCCTTCAGGGACACAGGTCCCTATGAAAAGGTCAGCCCGTGTCATCTGCTCCTGGGGCTGGAGGGAGCTAAGATGTGGCAGGGAAGGGACAAGAGCTTCGGCCCCTGCAGACAGGCAGTACCCTTGGCTCTGGTTGATGCTGGCATTGCCTCTTAGGAACGGTGATGATGAAAGGGGCCAATGGCGCCACTGATGGCCCAGTATCCCTAGTGGTGAGGTGACTGGCACAACTTTGCAGGGAAGAGAGACGTATGATGGGCCTGGGACAGCCAAAGAAGAGGCCACCCAGTTTCCCCCTAGGTCTCTCTAGAAGGGTTTTCTGGAGGGAACCTTTGTTTTCTACTTGGGGCTTGTGTGGCCGACAGTCTTTGGACACACTGTCTTCTCTGCGTGTGTGACAAGCCATAAGGGAGCGCAAGAGGCCTCAGAGCTTCCGTACCTAACTTTCTGAGACCATATGAAGTGGGGATATTAGTTACTGCCTAGAACTGTGTGTCGAGTCAAGGTGCTCAGCGTCCGGCAGGGGCATGGTTCAAGACCTATAGCATACAGGTTATCTACCACGGGCCACAGAATCCAGGAAAAAGTCACGGAGTCCATAACATCTTCCAAAGGCCATATCGTGGTAGAACGAAATAGAAGTCTCAAGGGGAAATAAAAGCAGCGATGCTCTAGCACTGTTAGAACAGATAGGAACTGAGCGTGCACCAGGACAGACAGAATGAGGACAGCAAGGCTCCAGGTGGAAAAATACAGGAGGAGCCATCCTTCCAGCAAGGTCTCCCTGGGGACAGGGGAGATCGGCAGAAGAAAATGGCTGAGGCTTGGCTTTCATGCTGCTGCTGGTGCTAACTGACCTAGGACTGGGGAGTAGGGACAACAAATGAGAACAGAACCCCTGGTGTCCTGCATCCCACATCCTGCATCCCAGAACAGTTTGCTGAGAAGGAGGCTCTGGTGCCTGTA